TCACTATCTTTTTTAAAATTATCGTTAAAAAATTCTCGTAGTAATAAACATTTCTTTTGTTCATTTTCTCTACCATATATTTGGTATAATTTTTTGTACATTTCATTTGATGTTTTAGCACTCATTATGTGTGAGCATGCATGTTTTTCTATTGTTGAAACTATAATATGTTGTGCTCTTACATCTTTTCTCTTCCATTCATTTTGGATTTTTTCTCCATCTGTTGTTGAAAGTTTGTTTTTCCCTGTGACTATTTCATCTAATGATTTTGCTTTAAATAAAATATCTATTTGAAATTTCCAAAGCTGAAAAGAGTCGGTGTTGCCCAACTTTCTATGAATTTGATGTCTCCTGATTCTGACATTTTAAGTATATGTAAATAGAATAGTTAATCTCATCTTTTTAAGTTTTGATCATCCACTTAAACTCTTCTGTTTTTAATTTCACTTCACCACGTAACAATTTTACTTTCTATTACTTTTCTTAATTTGCAGAATGTCCTGGCTCCATAACCTGTTGATTTTATTAATGGTTTATGGGTTTTCTTATTAAGTGTGTAACATTGAATAAACCACAAGGCTTTTTTAAACTAAGCAAAATCAATCTTTATTAAACTAACAACACAACTTCATAGAAAGAACAGGGTTATAACTAAAACATGTGTTTTATGTATATATCTTTTTTTAAATTTATATAATCAATATAACATGTGATCGATTTGTAATTAATATTAATAAAATTACTTTTAACAAGGTAGTAATTGTTTTTTGGATATAACTGATTCAGCATGTCCTCAATTAGATTCGCAATTTTTTAAATTGTAAGATTTATGTTGAATTCTTGTGTCTAAGATATTATTAGACTCTTCAGTCTCCAGTCGGCAACATACATAGAATTTTTCTTATATCTAGAACTTATTGCTCTTCGTTATTCTTATTAAACTACTAATTTAATAGTCTAAAATAGTCTAAGAGTGTTTCTTTCTTCTGTATTTAAACCGTTTACAAACTTTTACTAACACAGAACATGAGACTCCAGTACTTAACACATTAGACATCCCACTTCAGCTGACACTACCACATCCTTCTTTTACTCCATCTCAGGTTGCACTTCAAATCAAACAATTACCGAAAAGAGAAGCTCCTGGTTATGACTTAATAACAGCCGAAGCACTCCAACAAATGCTCAAGAAAGCTCTAGTATTTCTGACAACAATTTACAACTGTATACTAAGGACTTCAAAATTCCTTTTACAATGGAAATACTCACTCATTAAGATAATCCACAAACCCGGTAAAGACATATACAGTTCTTCATCCTACAGACCCATTAGTCTCCTTTCTATATGCTCTAAAGTTTTTGAAAAATTAATATACTAAGGACTTGTCGACATATTGACTGACCAACAGGTAATACCTGACCACCAATTCGGCTTTCGCACATTCCATTCGATGACACATCAATTGCATAGAGTTACAGACTACATTGCTGGAGCTTTAGAACAAAACTATATGCAATTGGAGTATTTTTGGATGTTGCTCAGGCGTTTGATACAGTCTGGCACCAGGGTCTTCTCTTTAAACTTAAGACTATACTGCCATACACGTACTATCTTATCCTTCAATCTTTCCTCTTCGACAGATTTTTTTCTGTTCGGCAGGGCTCGGGAATACCTTCAGTTCGTCCAATCTTGGCAGAAGTTCCCCAAGGTTCAATACTAGCCCCTCTACGTTATATACACTTACGGTATACCTATTAACGATGATATCTTGACAGCTACTTATGCAGACGACACAACGATTCTCACAAAACATTAGGACCCTACACAGGCCTCACTAACACTACAATTTCACTTACTAAAACTACAAGATTGGTTCACACTATGGAAAATTCGACTTAATCATGGCAAATCCAAACATACAACATTTAATCTTCGAAAAAACACCTGCCCTCCAGTTTATCTTGACAACAATCAAATTCCTCAAACGGACACGGTACTTTACCTTGGGCTTACCTCTGACAGAAGGATGACATGTGGTCCACATGTTAAAATGAAACATAAGACAACAAACGACTCAAACTACTTTACGCTCTTTTTTCTAAATCATCAAAACTAAAACAAAAACTAAATACATACGTATATATATACTTACTTAAGTCCATATGGACGTACTCATCACAAATATAGGGCATCGCTAAAAAGACCCACCTACAAAAACTTCAAACGTTCCAATCAAAATTATTGCGACTCATAACAAAAGCACCTTGGTACGTGACTAACAAAACTCTACATACTGACCAACGTATAACGACCCTTTAACAACAATTTTACACAAATTTAAATGGACATAATAAGAGACATGGCCACAGCTGACATACCCCAGAACATGAGGAGGAGACTGAAAAGGCGTTGGATGAGAGATCTTTTTCCTTAAACAACCTAAGTAATTGGAACAAGTTAGGGAAGAGGTACTGCTGAGTACTTTCCTTCTCCATACCTGTCATGTCATTATTTCATGTATTGCCATCACATTTGCTGATTGTCAACAATAAGTTAACAGACGCTAATACATCTTTTATAGACAAAAAAAAACACTAAGAATGGGAATGAAATTGGCCCTATAAATGTGATTCTTACATAGAGAACGAATGAAATAAAATATTTCCTCGATAAGTGAGATATAAACACGAAGGTTTTTAGGAGTTCAACTGTCACTACATACGATCATTTTTTCTAAAAATTCTAAGAAAACGAGTCAGTAAATCCAATCGCTGTACCCATTCATAATCACGTTATAAAAGCCATCTTAGTGATCGAAGATTACTTCTTACGGCTTTCAAAATAGTTTTCTAGTTAGAAGTGTTGAATGTCCCATTTGTAATACACGTGAACCCGAAAATTAATACCATTTTTTGTTGCATTGCCCTACATATGTAGCTTTTAGATGTAAGTATTTAAATGAATTATTGATGGTATCTGTGGCGATAAAGATCAGATAGTACAATTATTAGATATAGAAAACAAATATAAATTCAATGATTTATACTGGTATGTAGAAAGTTTAAAATTAAGAAACCTCTTTTTTGTTGTTCAAGAATAAATAGTTTTATCTATTCTTAATGTTAATTAAGTTTAAGGTTATATGTAAATATAATATTAGGACTAAGCATTACATTTTAATTTGCTAAAGAAAGATCGTTTTGTTTTTAGTTATACCAAACACACTAATTTTATTTTATATATCATATTATATTATATATGGTTTATACTATTAATGTAGTTAATTATGCATCATATTTATGTATATTCTTATGAATTTATATATATAAAACTCAACTCCATTTGTATGGGTTCGCCCGAAAACAAATAAAAAAATTTATTTATTATTATATGAACATTTTTGTAGATATTGATGTCTACCATCAACCTTTAAAATATTTCCCTCTACTTACGGGACACCCTGTATATTTATTTCTCTGTCCAGAAATTTGCAAAAGATACATTAAAAATAGAGCACTACATAAAATCATGATTGAGTCTGATTTTTTAAAATACTGTTTTCATGTTAAATTTTTAAACTTCATCACAATTAAATTATGAACTGATATGATGTAGAGATGGTTGACCGTTGATATAATATGAGAAGGAGTTAGTCGAGGGTGCGGTCAAATAAATAAAAAAAAATTAAAATATATAAATTATTTTAATGATAATTAAAATAATTATGATAATGATAAATTAAAATAATTTATATATTTTAATTTTTTTTATTTATTTGATCGCACCCTCGACTAACTCCTTCTCATATGAACTGATATCTTTTGGTCTACAAATTTTTTGTAAAAATATGATATTGAATTTATCATTTAACTTTTAAATTAATAGTTTACAGTAAGTACTTTATTTATATTATTTATAAACCATAAATTTCTTTATTTTAAGTAACTTGTTAGTTTATGGTTATGTACATAATTTGTTATTTGATTCCTACAAAATAAAACATACTGTCTGTCAAACAGCCACCTATTTTATCTGTATATATTGTAATGATTATTAAAAAATAAATAAATACCCGGCTAAATGGAGCACCATTTGTCTTTATTTTAAAATTTTACATTTTTTTTCTTCAAAATATTTTTCAAGTAGAAGTTTGAATTCATAATTACTGCACCATTTATTAGACGTGTTGCTAAATGCATTTTTGACCTATTTCATAAGTCTTTCTGAACATATGTGTGCGAAAATCATTGTGAGGTGTAGAAAATTACCAAGTTATGATTTTTTTCCCTGAAATTATGTCATTAACTCTACAATTTTCGGTAATGTAATAACATTGTTTTTCACAGTTTTTCAAAAATTTATATCTCAAAAAATATTCAAGATATCAAAATACAATTTTGCAGGTTTAAAAGGATAGCAAATAGAGCAAATAAAAAGTCATCAAATCTGTGACCATGGGTTTTATGTCCCAGATGAAATGATATCGATTAGTCCAATTTTTTCCTTTACTTAAAATGTAATATCTTAAATATAATTTTAAGTTTTAAATAAATACTAATGTATTCAAAATTAAAATGATTTTTTAATGATGTAGAGATGGTTGACCGTTAATATAATATGAGAAGGAGTTAGTCGAGGGTGCGGTCAAATAAATAAAAAAATTAAAATATATAAATTATTTTAATTTTTGCCGACGTTTCGACCCACTTTGCAGGTCGTCTTCAGGGCGTAGGATGTGGCACTGCGGGAGGCAGTGGAAACACCCAACACAAAACACCCGCAGTGTTTCAACTGCCTCCCGCAGTGCCACATCCTACGCCCTGAAGACGACCTGCAAAGTGGGTCGAAACGTCGGCAAAAATTAAAACAATTTATATATTTTAATTTTTTTATTTATTTGACCGCACCCTCGATTAACTCCTTCTCAAAATTATTTTTTAATGGTTTACTTATTTTTAGTTCCATCAAAACTTGCAAATTAATTTTAATTTTTTTTTAGTATAAAGATAGTGACAGTAAATCTTTGGAGCTGTTTGGATCATGGCAAGTTGTGGACTATGTGCCTCCTCCTGTCGTTGATGGAAAAGTGCCAGTAAATCAGTATGGCAATGTTGAACTATACAAACCTTCTATGCTTCCAGCAGGAGCTGTTCATATCCAAGGTTTGATTTGTGTTCATTAATTTTATATAATAGATGATTATAAATTACTTTTTTTTTTACATTAAAATTTCAGAAAAAATCCTATTTTGCTGATTACTTTTCTAATATTTCTTATAAATTCTAATTAACAAAATCATCTGTTTTAAAAGTATTAACTATCGGGAGAAATATATTTTATCACCTTTATTTAATTTGTGCATAATAAAATAATTATCTTAGTCCAAATAAAAGAAACTAACATATTAATGTTATATGATAATGAGAAACATTGCATTTTATATAAAAAAATGATAAAAAAAATCTAATATATAATAATAAAAAACTGTATTGAAATTTACTGCTGTATTAAATATATGAAGGAAGGTTCAATCCATTTCAAACCACTTAAAAACAAAAACAAACCATAATTGGTGACTTCCCATTTATTTTGACTGTATAAATTTTTTGTTAACACATTTTTGTTGTACCCATTTTACAAATGACAGCCATTTTTGCTTCATACTGCTCACTATTTTTTGAGTTTGCAGACATTTGGACTTCTTCTAAATTTCTCAACACATGGAATATCTCAAGTGTTTCAAAAACTACATTCTGTTCATTACATTATGGTCTATAAATCAAAGTCCTTTTTACCTACATAATGTTGCAAATGTTATCAAATAAAAATGAACTAAATTAAATTTTCCTGTAGTAATTTCTTAAAGAAGAAACAAAATCTCAGCCTTATGTTTTATTTTATTTATTTATTTGTTATTTGTCTTCATAAACATATAAGTATACTAAATTTATTTACAATGTCCGTGGTGAATAACTCACTCATTCAAAATTATGCACTCTTAATTTTCTTTTCTGATTTTACTGTTTCAATATCGTGTCATGGAACCCAACAAAAATATGAAATTTTAACACAATTAATTTCAAGATTTATTTGGAATTCAACTATTAACTCTTTATGGAGGCATAATTCCTAGGATTGTTTTTTCTAAGAGTTTGAATATCTTTCAAGTTAATTGGTAGATTTTTATTGAGTATTATTAATACAGTGACATAGTTGATAGATTAACTAGTATGATATCACCTTATCACCCACGCTATGATTTCACCTTAACAGTTGTATATATGTAATTTTTTATGCAATACTCAATTCATATCAATCATTTATTGTCAATAATTTTCTGTATTAATGTTGGTTTTAGCAACTTGCAGTATATCACACACACTTCTGTTCCTACCAAACACAGACATGATCTTTGAACCTTAGTATTCTCAAAATACATCCACTTTTCATCACTTGTCGCAATTCTGTTCTGTTCTGTCAATATTCTGTTCCTTTCTGGCAATTTTATTCAAGTGCAAATATGTGCAATGATCTGAGTCAATATTCATATCCCTATAAGTTCCTGCAACCTGCAGGAACGATTTATGACACCTTCTGATCATGTCTAGAACACAGTTTCAAATTTCTTTCAAGACCATAGAAGTATTCTTTTTCTTGGTCTTCTGAGACTTCAGTAGGTACATATACGCTGAAAAGACTATAATTATACAATCTTCCCAAGAGCCTGATGTAACAAATGTGTGGGCTAATTTCTTTAAAGCCGCTCACTGTTTATTGGTACTTTCATCTCACTATGAATTCTTATCCAAATTCGTGATATCGTGATGGTATCACTAGAGCTATAGTGAATCGAATGATGTTTCTTTTCGAGTATGTCCTGATTAGTCCAATAGCTCAATAGAAAATTTGATACTCTTTCGATTCAATTCAAGCTGATGTAAAATTGTAATAAACGAAAAGATAAATAGCTATTTGAGTGCTTAGACTTATTAGCCGAATTAAAAGAATTGAAAAGATAAAAAGTGCTCAAGTTGAGTGCGGCAGATACTATGATTGAAATATTTTTTTTCAATTCTGTGTGATTTAACAGCTGCTTACCTTTTCATCTATTGACGTATCTATATGAGATATATTGGAAATTTAATGCTCTTTCAAATTGATCATAATGAATTTCTTGGACAGATGCATAGATTTTTAGTTTTGGGGAGAAAAACTGACGAAAACTGCTATTTCTTCTGAAATAAGCAAACAGTCAATCTCCTTTAACTGCTCACCGTTTGGTCCTGTATCAAAAACTTTGTATAGAATAATAATTTTGATAAAATGCATAGTTCGGGTTCATGTCAAAAAAACTAGAAAAACTGGAAATTTTGTGTTTTTTTTCATATACCTCAGAACGTAATGGAAAATTTAATTTGAAAACTTCAAATTCTGATTCAACATTCCAAAAAATATAAAAAGCTGAAGAGAAACTGACTATTTGAATTTTTTCTACACCCAATTACCCATTTGACTGAACTAATTTTATGATTTTGACAGTCAGTTTTCAATATGCAACCGAGTACATTGTCAGTCAAGGTAAATTTTTTTTTAGGGACACATTGTTTACATCATATCTAAATTTCAGCCATCAGTTCTTTAGTTAAATAAACATCAAATGTTCATTTAAAGCAATGGCTTTCAACCAATTGACTGAAGCTTTGGTGTTCAGATGAGGTTTATCTATAATTTAAAATGGTTACTAGCTGTAAGTCATTTAGCTAAATGAAATGGTTGGAAGCTCCTAGTCTATATTGGCACAAATCATATAAGGAAACAAAAAAATTTTTATTTATTTTTTTTATTACAAATCCTAACTATTTTTGGTTTCTAAATGATTTTGAGTTTGAGTAACTATTATAATTTATTATTTTTACTTTTAAAATTTTCTTTTACTTTTATCATCTTATTTCACACTTTTTGATCGGTAATATATGTTTAATGATTAATTTCAGTGCCAGGTTTATTGAAAATTGCTCAGAAATTGAGCATTGATTGTGCAAATGCTGTAATAGGCTGGCAACATCATAGTGGCTTAAGTCATCCTGTGATAGATGGTGTAGTTGTCGCAAAAGAATATCAAGATGTCTTGCTTGATGCTTGGAATGCTGTAAGTTCTTTTATTCTTGATTTCTGTGGTTTCCACTTGGTCATTATGAAAAGCCATTATTATTATTATTTTATTTAAATTATTCTTTATAAGATTGATGTAATTTATAATGAAGACATGTGGTAAAGAGAATTAATGAATGTCTAATTCAACTACACTTTAAACATAGTCGTACACTAAAAAAATAAAACTCTTATATAAATATTTCTATATTTCCATTCTAATATATTTCTTAGTCACTTAACTTTTCTAGATACTTACATAATAACCTCACTCTTAGAAACTACTTTAAGGGTTTGCTTGTCTTGTTATATACATCTTAAATTCTTTTTAGAGGTATTCTATTTTGTTTTAATCAGATATACAAGATGACAATCTAAGTGTCTTATTAACTTCAGAAAGTTAGAGAATCTAAAGTAGACAGGCCATGTTTATCAGATCTTTGGAGGATTATGTACTTCTAAACTACCCTTGATAAGACTCATTATATTTGGTTGTTACTAAAGCCCCTTGTGCATGAACACAACCCTTAATTCCAACTTTCATAATTAATCCTATGAGAATAAATTTGTTCCCAATATTGATTTCAATGTTTACTTTGACTACCCCCTTAAATTACTTGTGGCTTTAGTTGGCTTTATGGGTTCATATACATTTTTAAAACGCGTGTGCAATGTCAGAAGAAAAAAAAAAATCATGATTTGTGGTCTTTTGAGACATTACTGGAAGAAAGGTCTTGCCCTGCAAAGGCAACCGCAGAAAAAATTTGTACCAAAAAGGGGAGTTAGTTATCCATCGAATTACTGCTGAACTTTGGTTCAGCCATTTCAACAATGGAAATATCCACCTTGCAGATGGATTCTGATCAGTTCGTCCATTGGTTGTTGATGATGACATTCTTCTTCAATTTATGAACCAGGATCCTCATGCAGCTGCTCATGATTTGTTGGCCATAGAAGGGCTTCTAATGCACCAGTGGCTCTTTGTATTGAAAACCTGGGCATACGGACTTTAAGACCAAGGGCTGACCCACATGGCTTGACAGAGGCCCAATCCCAGCAGCAAGTTGATATTTGCAAAATTTTGCTTCAAAATCTGAAAGATGACAGATTTTGGAAAAATATTATCACAAGTAACGAAAAGTTGATATTTTTAATGTGTGGATTCAAAACCTTTACTGTAAACAGCTAGACGGAGTTTATGTAGTTTTGAGTACAATAGTATGCCATTTTCCAACCTGACCTTTCCTATTGATCAATTCAGGCCATTTTTCTTGAATTGCCTGCTTCAATCGTACTAGTTGTTCACAGTAGAGAGTTGAATTGTTGAATTAATGGTTTAGTTCTGTAGTGACGTTGCAAGATGAAATATGTCGGTTTTCCTCAATTTTTTGAAGAATTTCATTGAATTTTTCAACGATTGGCCGCCCAGGGCGATATTCATCTTTAACATCTTTGTTTCCAAAATGAAAACGAGCAAATAATTCTAATACTGGTGTGCACTTAAGTACTCATCACCATAAACATCATACAATTTTCGATGAGCCTGTGCTGCATCTTTATAATCATCAGTTAGGGTCAATAGAGTCTGTGATTCCCAAAGAATTGTATTCTTAAAGGGCCTTCTATAATAAAAGCTTTCCTATTTTTTTGGAACATGTCAGCTTCTAGCCTGAATGAATCACTGTGTCCAGTGACTGTGAAAATCGGGAAAACCGGGAATTGTACGGGAATTTCTTGAACTGGAAAAAAACGGGAATTGTGAGGAAATTTTTCTGAAAAACCTGGAACTTTTTAATTTTTATTATTTTTTTTTCTGCTTTTGTGAGAAAATAAATGATCTTGCATTTACATATATAATAAAGGATATTGCCATATTCCCATAATCTTAAGAATAAATATTTTTATTGATTATTAAACAGTCTTTGAACAGACATTGTAGTGGTATTTTTTCTTTCACGTTATTTGGTTTTTTCTGGATGAAAATACCATTTATCTCTACGGGAGGTCCGTCGGGGAAACAGGTGTAGGATGTCTGGTCAGATGGACATGGATTTCAGAAAATATTAATTATTGTAAATATAATATCTATTATAAATTTGTGTGAAAATAAATATATGATAAATAAAGAAGAATATCTCATCATAATTTTATGGCTATATTATTGTGTTCATTATTACTCCTGTAACTACAAGTGTATGCATTTTTATAGGCATTTATTTTGATGCAAATATTTGTATTTAGACCAGTAAATTTGCTGTAATATTAATATTAAATTTTTTATTAAAAATATTTATACATACTTTTCTGTGAATATAACAATATTTTTTATTATACCTGTAAATACAACTATATTCATATTTACAGGAGTGAATACGGTAGCAAATATATTTATCTAGACTTGTAAAATTTAAAAATATATAAATATTTTTTAAATAAAGAAGAATATTTATCTAAAGTTTTATGTGAATATAACAACGTTCTATACCACATCTTTTAATACAATTGTGGGGGAATGAGGAGACAAATATGCCCAACTCTGATTTGTAAGAGTGGGCTTTACTGGATTGAGTCTCACAGTCTGCCGTTTATATCGGGCAGACCAGAAGGAAACTAACAAAAATTATTAAAGATTATTTCCTCAGGTCATGCCATACATCTGATTTCTAAAACCATTTTGGAAATTTTCTGTTCCCACATAAACATAGTACGGTAAAAATCAAACACGCTGCATTTAAAGGGAAAAGAATGGATTTTCTTAAAAACCCTAAAAAATAATGTATTATGCTCGAATGCCAATAATACTGAATTTTGAGGATTCTGGGCTCATTCAATTAGTAGCGGTTAACAAAAACAAGGCATAATTTTAAGGGGGTATGGAATGACCCTATATAATTATAATTATTCTTATTGCCAATTTGTAACCATAATATACACTGACAGGCAAAAAATTCCACCCACTTGATTTTTTCATGTTTTCATCTAAAAATATTTCTACTTTGGTTTGATCTATTGTTTTTAATTTGTAAATAGGTAATCTTTTTGTTTGTTTTCAATTAGGAATGTTAATATAGAGGACAATAACCCTTAATCCTTTATTCAATGAAATGATTCTAGATTCCAATGTTTACTTTCTATGGAATCAAAATGTTTATTCAGTATCATTAGTTCAGTGCCGCTTCTTGCAGCACATTTCGTAGTCTCCAGCTTTTAATTTTTTCAATATTAAGTTTAAAAATGCCTCTTAGTGCTGAGGATGTTGCACGTGGTGTGGCACTTATTGATGATGGACGTTCCATTAGATCGGAGTTCCATATAAAACTTTACGAGACGCCGTCAGGCGTTTTCGGGAAACTGGTTCTTACAATAGAAGGTCCGGTTCTGGACGGCCTAGGGTAACAGAACCACGGGATGACTGGTTTTTGACTTTGAGAATTTTACGAAACTGGCACCTTACCGTTGTTCAAGCGATTCATCAGTTCGAAGAAGTTCAAGGTGTGCAAATTTCTGAACTTACCGCTTGGAGAAGATTAAATGAGTATGGTTTAATGACTTTTCGTCCAGTAAGAGGACCAGAGTTGACTAGAACTCACAGAGTAGCACGGCTGGCTTTTGCTCGAGAACACAGCTGTTGGACTATGGACGAATGGAGTGCTGTACTTTTTACAGATGAGTCAAGATTCGCTCTTCGATCTCCAGACTGGCGTGAAAGGGTGTGGAGAAGAAGAAACGAAAGATATGAAATGAAAATATTTTTTTTATTATCCTGGGACTGTTGTCCCTTTAGGACAAATTACAGATACAGAATAAATGCCTGTGTGGCCATACATAAAATTAATTATTTACATTTATTATTAAGATTAAGATTTTGAAAAAATAATAAAACAAAAAATATAACTATTACACTAAAAACATTCTGATATGTATAATGCAAACTATATAATAAAATAAAATAGCATAAGTAAAGAAAATCATTTCTGGGGGAACTTTAAAAGTTCTCTTATCTACATTTCATGATCAATCGGGTTGGGAAAGGAGTAGGTGGTTAAAAAGGAGAGATTTAAATGAGGAAACTGATTGTACATGTCGGATATCGGGAGGGATGGTATTCCAGAAGGAGACGGCTTGAATTATAAAGGATTTGTCAAATGCTGCAGTTTGGTGGGGAGGTGGATAGAGGTCGGAGGTACAAGATCTAGTGAGACGGGATTGAATGGAATATTTGAATTGTAGGTTGTGAAAAATATAGGAAGGCCGCTGAGTTCTGATGACTTGGTATAGAAAAGTGGCAAGGAAGTACAAACGGCGGTTGGACGGATAGAGCCACTTCAACTTGGTGTGGGGTATATGCTTATCTCTTGAGATTCCAAAAACAAAACGTATTGCGCAGTTCATTAGGCGTTTAAGTTTGGCCTCGAATTCTCCCGAGTGTCCGCCGTACACCAGACAGCCATAGTCGAAGTGGGGGAACACAAGGGAGGAAACCAGGAGTTGACGGGATTTATATGGAAGGAGACGGTTAAACTGTTTCAGGGTAGAGATAGTATGACGGGAAATTTGGGAGATGTGTGGTTTCCAGGAGAGGGTTTGATCGAATGTAACACCAAGGTTTTTTACGGAAGTATGGAATGAGATAGGTGAGTTGTTCAGGAAAAGACTGGGGAGTATCTGTATGGATTTGAGGGGTGAGGGAGATCCGATTAGAATGGATTTCATCTTATTGGTGTTTAGAGTAATCCTATTGTGATTTGCCCAGGCACATATTGCGTTTATATTTTCCTGTAATTTTTGGATGGCACCAGAGGATTCGGTTGGATTGAAGGAGAGGTAAATCTGGACGTCGTCGGCGTACAGATGGTATTGACAGTGAATGTGCAGTGGATATGCAGCCTGTAATATTTCCCAGAGCCAACCTTTCCAACGTGGTTCCTTAATAGTGTGGGCTGGGATTTCAATGGAGTGCCTCACAGAATTGGTTGTTGTTCGTGGAGGGTTTTTGATGGCCATTCGCTATGTAGCGAACCTCATGTGTTGCCTATCCTCAACGAAATCGGCGATCGTTCTATTCTAATGCACGATAATGCACGCCCACATGTCGCCCGCATAGTGCAGACGTTCCTTCAACAGAACAATATTGAGGTGCTAACCTGGTTAGCACCTTCTCCAGATTTGAACCCCATTGATCATTTATGGGATAACCTCGGAAGACGAATAAGAGCGCGTGCAACACTTCCTGATACACTGCAGGACCTTGAAAGGGCTCTTCGGGAGGAATGGGATATTCTCCAGCGAAGGGACATTTCCTGACTGGTGGAAAGTGTGCCAAGGCGTCTTCAAGAAGGAGTGAAGGCAAGAGGAGGAAACACGCGCTACTAAACGATGATGTAATTAATTTCTTTTAGAATAATAATGGTTCATTTTTCAATTTTTTTTCTCTAATCTTTCTCACCCAATCACATTTTGATTATTAAAGGTAAAAAAGATTATAAAATTCCATAAATACTAAGTATTATCTACAAATACCATGTATTATATACAAATACAACTTTTTTTACAAGTGGGTGGAATTTCTTGCCTGTCTGTGTATATTCAACTTGTACAGCTTCATATAAGCCCAACATCAATTTGAGTCTTATATTTATAATATTTTCATTGTACATTATATTGTGCTTCCTTTTCTAATTCGTAATAATTATAATTATATTAGAATATAATATAAATAATATTATATATAATATAATAATTAATATATTGTATTCAAGGGGAAAATTTCTAGATCGAAAAATAACTGCTGTCACCTAGGTAAAATCATACTACCACCTCCACATGAACACCATTTTCCGTACAAATTTTTGGTCTAAAATCTAAAAGGAGATTAGAGCAGCTTAATACTGTAACGAAGACACCAGGGTGTAAATCCCTGATTTGTGTTACGATAAAATTAATTTACAGAAGCTCAACACATATGTAATTAAATGAACAGCTGTATAATTAGTGGTAATAGGAGAGCTCCTGTAATCTACTCTTCTAATACTAAAATAAAACATAAAAGTCACTAAAAACTTTTTTATATAATAGAGAAAAAAATAGCTATGTACCAATTGACTTTATAAAAAATATTTTCAAGATTATTTTTATAAATATTTTAAAGAACTTTAATATTATACTGAACAATATTTGGAATAAACCTCATATTTTTTTTTTGATATTTTAAATAAGTGTCAGTTTTCTGTATTTCTTTCCCTCTCTCCACCAAAATCAAAAGCAAGAAACTTTGAAAATGTTACCAGTTATGGGAAGGGTAAAAACATTTTCAAAGGTTTATTTATTTTTTTTTTGGGGGGGGATCTTTGGGTCAATCTCTAATTTTACAGTTCTATTAAGGAGGTAGCTTTATACTCTGTGTCCCCAATTATTTATACAATAATACGTCAAACATGCTGGGTCTGAAATACCATTTCATCCCAGAAAGATAATTTGAAATTATTTTGATAATTTAAATAAAGAAAATTTTAAATCTACTGTCCGGCAGTAAATATGTCAACTCTGAGCCCCTAGCTTGTACCACATGGCAGGCATAGTCAAGCGTTATTGAATGAATTTTTATTCGAATAATTTATTCAATAAATTTTTAGTGGCTGATGATTTTTATAAGATTCCATTGTTCTGATTAAGATTCCCATGATCTGACAAAATTATTTAATAACCATATGTCTAAATAAATATTTATGCTAAGAAAATATTCTCTGAACATAAATTTATTCAACAAAAAAAATTCCCTGAATAATCATTTATTCTTGCATAAATCATGCAAAATTTGCATAAATTTATAAAAAAAAATTAATTTTACATTAAAAAAAAAGTGAGGTTTCTTTAAGTTATTAAGAGAGCTTTTTTGAAAAAGATAAATTAAATTGCACAATATAGATTTATTTTAAAATTGATATAATTTACCGAACTAACTTTTCGGATTTAATCGATATTAGGGTCTACTATTATGTTGTAGTGGGTAATTTTTATGAAAATACTGTCAAATTGAAGATTGCACAATCATGCATCATGTTTTTGTAACTTTTTGGATTAATTCGAACAACACCATTATGTTGTCGGGGGTGCTTTTTATGAAAAACATGAAGAGCAATTGCGCTGTATCAAATCCAACCTTATTTTAATAAAAAGCGCTCCCTACAAAATTATAGTGGACCTTTTTATCGATTAAATCCGAAAAGTTACATAAATTTGATGCGCAATATGATATCCAACAGTATTTAAAAAAAAAAAAAAGTCTCTGATAATATTATAGTAAACTCTTATCCCGATTAAGTCCAAAAAGTTACAAAAACGTGATGCGCAATTTGTAATGCGACAGTATTTTCATAAAAAGTATATAAATATATTTCATCAAAAGTATATAAAATAAAATTTTGTGAAACATTTTTACAGTTTTTTGAATTTACGTTGAAGCCTCTCCTATGAGTTCTAATGATTATTACTAGTAACCATAAGGTGTTGGTGCTGAGATCGGCAGAAAAAAAATCTTTATCAGCTGATATTCGAGTTTGACATTCATTAATCAACATGAATGTCCTTTTGAAAAAAATTAGTTAGCATAGAACTGAATTGGCGACTATACCCAACATTCCTTGGGAAATAATCTACAAATCAGAGTAGTTGTTCTGGAGACCAAACCATCACTTTATATGATCTTCATTGTTGTCTATAATATCCTCTCCTAAGTACCTGTTTAATTGCCTTAGATTCAGATGTCCCTATTGGAGAATGTTGCTCTCGGGCTCTCATTAATGTTCCTAAGGTGTCCAGTTTGTTTTGTTTTTCTTCACTTTTCTGTACTTTCCTCCGTTTATCTTTATTTTACTCTACCTTGATGATTTTTCTGTCATTTTAAATAGTTTTAGTATCGCGCATATTTGCTTCATTATTCTTTATTTCAGGGATCTCCGAACAATGGTCCGCTGGCTAGATCTGGCCTGAAAGCACCATCCGGCCTGCGAAGGTTTCTTTGATTATATTGTAAAATTTTAAAAACTTATAAAAAATATGAAATTTAGCTAATCACTCACATATGAGGTTACTATTACTACAACATTCATTGCATGGGTGGTTTTTTCTCTTAGAGAGCTCATTTCACAGTGTCAAGTGTCATTTATAGAACAACAATAAAAAAAAAAAACTAAAAAAAAAAAACACAAGCCATGGCCCTCGGGGCTAAGTTTGAAGTCCCAATGTGGCCTGCAGAACTTGGTAGAGGTCTTAATGTGGCCCGTGGGCCAAAAAGTTTGGAGACCCCTGCTCTATCTTATTTCAAGTGTTATGCGGAATGAAGATGGAACTGAACGAGAACTGGAACGAATTCCAGTGGTGGAACATTGCTTTCCGACCTGTTGGCCGAGTACAGGAACGGTTTTTGCCAATTCCACCTCTAAGGATGGGCAATTCCGAATTGCCCATCCCTTGTGGCGGTATTTCTAAGATCTTTAACCAGATTTTTCTGCAATTGAGATTATGAACCTATTTTCTTAAAGCTGATATTGTTGACCTTTTCCCATTAATTAATTGCACCTTTTTCAAGATCATCTGTATTGTGTGTAATAAAAATGGTTTGTTCTTTCAATGTTTATTATTCTGGGTATATTTTTATTTCTTTTGAAGTATCTGATTGGTCCAATTTAGACTGAATTTGCAACTCCAAGGCTCCAGAAAATCGATCAAAACCCACATTACTACTAATTGTTTTATTAGAACTACTCTTAATTGAAAAAATTAAAGGTACCTGTGCTTATATTTTAAAATTTCTAATAAAGTTTAAAGGACCTGTGCACACTGTAAGCTCTAACCCAAAAGTAAAGCAAACAAGACATATTTTGTGGATGGTACACATCAGTATGAAATTTCATCTAATTTTCATGTTGTTTTCTTATGAAAATTATCATTATAAATATTTTTCATACTATTTTTTTTATTTCTGATTATGGTTTTCTTCAGGATGTGGATTTCTCCGAGCACCGATATTCTATGAAAAGAAAAGCAAGAGCAAAATTGAACTGGCTGAAGATATGTAAATCTTTATTGATAAAAGAACATCTTAAGAAAAAATATAAATTCGGAGAGGATGAGAAAGATGATGGTGAACCATTACCAAAATTACCAAAGAAACAAAATTAATTTAAGTTACTTGAGCTTAAGAGAAAACTATGTACCTGATTATGATAGCTGTTTGTATTAATTTATAGTTTAGTTCATTTTTTTATGTAAAAGTTATTTTCTATTCATATAGTTTTTATATAAGCATAATTTCATCCATTTATTATAATTTTAATTATAAAAAATGCTTGTTAGTTATGTATTAATTGTGTAAATTGTAACTATAATTACATTTAGTTTGACTGAAAAGTTAACTTCTGACAATTAGTTTTGGTTTTAGGAAGCTACATCCTTCTAGTTTTATTTAAAATAAAACCTTTGATTATCGTAATTTAATAATCTGGTTTTCGATACTTGAAAATTGGTTTTATTAACTTAACTATCCGTACTCAAGACAAATTTCCCTATTAACCCCAAGGTCAGGTCAGATCCAACCTACTTCAATGTTTAATTACCAAAGTATTAGGTGTAATAGATTAAAAATAATAAAAAGTATTTTATTGTTATAGAGATTTTATTTTAAACCATTTTGTAAACTTTTTGACAATTTTATAATGTAGAAATACAAATTCAAATCAAGTATCGACATTTTTTTTCATCCTCAGTAATGATAGAAAGGGTACCTTATGGTCTGGTTTAAAAACATTAGTGATGGAGTTCACAAAAGACAGCTAGTTGTATCTCAGAACGTATCCGGTCCACACTATGCTGTTTGAAGATTATGATAACCAATATGGTAATTATCAATTGTGGAATGTAAAACAATAATTAAAAAGAAAGTTGTATCTTAAAATTAATAATGTATGTATATGTGTTTAAGATATATTTGATTTTGCTCTTTTAATTTATTTTTGGGAGATCCACGTTTTTCTATATGTGGGCATAATTTACAATATTGATCGGACTGCAGGAATCATTGATTTTTCAAGGTAAACTGGTAGTCAGATGTTAATCATACACACACACACACATATATATAAATAAAGAAGGAATCATTTCAAAAATGTAATTTTTAAATGCATTAAGTAAAGTTTAGTTGTTCACTGTGATGTATTACATTTCTTATTACACTTTCCCTAAAATTGAGAAGCTCATCCGACTTCCATCCGTTAAACATTAAGTGACCTTTTATCTTAATTACATGAGAACTATTAAGACCTATTTTGAAATACCACCGTGTTTAAGTTCACATTGATAGTGTGCGATAATTTTATTAATATTTAATTTTTCTTGGAAATTCTGAGAGAATAATTATAATTTCTTGTTTTTCTCGAAATAAAAACAAAACACTATTATAGTTTGTTAAAAATTACGACTAAAAATGATAATTGCAAAAAATCCTCCAAAAGTAACCAGAAAATCAAGATAATCAGTCTTTAATGAGAGTAGTAAACAAGGAATAAGTTAAGTCACCAACACCACACAGTAGAAGATAGCAGCCCCTGATGTGATCTGTCTCCTCACCTGCCTCAGCCAAGATGAGGATTACATGAACATTCAAGTCATGTGCTTTGAACGTGTTATAAGAAACAATCTGGTACAATGCATCATATAACTTTCTCTTACCACCCTAGTAGAAATTAATTTTTTAGAAAGTTAATAAACCTTAAGAATATTTTCTTGGTTGATAAATAATCAAGATTTACATTCATAATACATTTATTATAGGTGGTGACGTTTTGACTCAAGCATGTGGTTCATCATCTAATGATCTAATACAGCACAAAAACAATGGTAAGATGACAAGTTGACAAACACTACTTATATTATTAAACCCTCTATCTATTCCACCTATGTCATTTTATCATATAGTTCATATGCTACGTTAGTCATAAACCATTCCCCTGATGAGCCACATGCTAGCGTTGAAACGCCAGCAACCATAATAAACATATTCTAACTGAAATTTCATCTTTTAAGAATATTACTTTAACTATTTTTTTAAATTTAAAATACAAAATTGTGACAATTAATATAAATTGTGACAATTCAGTGCACTGTATGTTTTTGGTTTATGAATCAGAAAAATAATTTTAAAACAAATTTTCTACAGAAATTCTGTTAAGGTTCTCTGGAAACTTCCTGTTTATTAGCATGCTTTCACTCTCCATTACCTTCTACAACTTTATCTGTCAGGTATTTATTTTTCATTAGCTTTTCAACAGTTTATCATACATCTATATTACTACTCTAATTTCTGGAAACCTGTTTTCTACCTACAAAGATATTTCACATATTTTCTTATTTATTTAGTTATTAAATTCTTTCATAGTTCCTGTTTATTTATTTTATATTACTACCAACAATGAGAGACCTTTAATTATTTCTAATAAACAAAATCAAAGGTTTTCTAAAGAAAGAAATTTGAATTTAAGCCCTGTCAGACTATTTCAATCACATTTGATAAATAAAGACTTTGATTTTACATAAATACAACAAAGTTAACCAATATTATTTAAGCCATTATTGAGAAAATTGTTTAAATGTGTAAAATCAATGATATTCAGTACTATTTCCAGTAATCATTTTGGTGACATTCTGGGCATATACCTACCTTAAATATGTAATTTCAGTTTTGTATGACTTTTTGTTTTTGAGCTTGACTGTTACTTGCTCACAGAGATACAAACACACACACACAGAATTTTTGCTTGCGAGACTTGGTTATTTGGATTCAATATACCTAGAAACATGTGTTTTCTTGAAAATTTGGATAAAAAAATGTTCACAATCTCAATAACTTCTCCCTTACTATATATGGGTAAGTAAAAGTATAATACCAATGCTATATTATGATATAAATGAATATCTGGAGGCCTATAAAAAATATGCTTATACTTATAATTAATTAAAAAACATACATATTTACAGTTATTGATAAGACTGACATACGTTTTTGGCAGATAAGCAGGCTTACAAAACTGTTGCCAAATATGTTGCATGATACTAGTGTACACAAGGTTGGTGATTCCTGCTTAACTTTTTCGATTTGACCCAGTCAGATGTTATTTAACTGTCAAAATGTTTTTTTTTTCTTTTAATCTGTTCCGTAAAGCCTTGAGCTCATATAAAGATCACCTAAATTTTATAAATAACCAGTTAATGCAATAAAGTTTGTGTTTAAAAAAAAAAATGCAGCCAGTGAATTGTGAATTATAATTTCTAATTTAACTACCCATCATGGTTATATATATTTTATAAAAAAAAAATGTTGATACCAAAGATAGTACTACTACAATTTCTGTATATTTTTCAATGAAAAAATATACTGGAATTCATGTCAGTGCTTATTTTTTTTCCTAATATGGTCTCTTGGTGTCATTAGGACTGGTTGCATCAACACAGTCTAAATTGAATTTTCTGAAATCTCAGTTGAAGTTGATTATTACACCTTATACAAACAAAGTTTAAGCTCTAAACTATGTTTAAAGTCAATTGGACAATAAGATAAACCAGTAACCTTACAGTGTGTTTGTAAAGAGTATTTGAACTTCATTTTCTCATATGAATTGATTGTCAATATCAATTATTAAAAAACCTCAAGTTGTATATAGCTTGAAAACAAAACAATTGACGTGATAATATTAATTTTCATATAATTTTTAATATAAGATAGCACTTCCATTTTGGATCCTAGGTCCAGCTTCATAGATAAGCCAATATGGAGCACTAACGGATCCAGCCGTGGGGCGCTCGCCCCCCCTGGAGGATGGAAAAAAAAATCCAAAAAAAGTTCCTAAAAGCAGCTACTTAAGGAAAAAAGAAATATAGGGAAAATTCATGCATTATTATTCATATTAAGTTTAGGTACTCGTTCGACGCAGAATTGGACATTCTTTAATTTCTTGAAGAATACGTTTTTCGCTTTGATGCACTGTTATTAGTAAAACACGAAAAAAAAAAAAGATCAGATAAATCTGAAATTTTTAGCTTTAAAAAGTTTTGTCTTGGTGACCAATTTCTCCGTGTTAGCAATTTATTTTTTTACATTTCTAAGCCCATATACAGGGTGTCTCGTAAGCAGAGCGAAATATTTAAAGAATTGATATTAAAAATCAATAAATATAAAAAAGTTTATATTAATAATGGTTCGATTTTTAGCAAGAAATTAGGGAATTAAGTAGGGTTTTGTGATTTTTGTGTCACGTTTTTTGTTGAATAGGAAGTAATAAAAAAAGCACATATTTAATTTAAGTAATTAATGATAGCTTCACTGCTAACTAAATAAAATTTACTTTAAATAAAAATAGAGTTTGCTTTTGTAAAAAACATTTAAAAAGAACTTTTGAGCGGCTAAATTCAGCTAAGGAGTGGGGAGAGATGGGTAGTATTGGGGGAACGGGTAGGGGTGGGGAAAGCACGTGGTACAGAGAGGCGCCCCCCATGAGAAAATTCCTGGATCCGTCACTGATGTGGAGCACTATTTGAACTTGTTTATGTGAAAGTAGACGGAACTAAATATAAAAATGGAAATGGAAATATGCCAAACATGGTTGCAGATTTCATCGAGCAGATATTGTTGTAATAGGAAACCAATTTGACAAGGGAGGATCCAAAGAAGTTGTCGAATGGAATACGAGGAGGGCGGTAAACTACAGCTAATAACAAAGGAGAGGTAATAGAGAAAATTTCAACGAACATGTATCTCATGTGAGGAAAGCCATGAGAAGGAGACTGTAGGAGGATTTTGGCCTTAAGACTGTCATGGACATACAATCCGACACCACCTCCCGTGCCATCAGATCTGTCGTGGCGTAGAAAAGAATAATTTGGTAGGGAAGTCTGGGAGGAAGGGATAAAAGTTTTTAGCCTGGTTTCGGATACTGCTATTATGTGATAAAAATTGTCAAGGAAATGTTTCTGAAATTCATCGTAGTGTGCAGTAAGGGATTATGCATTGATGCATTGACGGGAATTCAAGATATTAGTCATGACTGAAGAGTTGAGAAGTAGAATTTTGGATAAATGATCGAGGATGAAGGATATGATATAACATTTCTTAAACATAATATTAAGTTTAGAAATAACAAAAACAAGACAAACCTAAAATAAACTTGAAATTAACAAAATAAATTTTCCAGTATTACGAAATAAATATTCATTTAAGATTAATTTATAACCTAAAAATATACGAATATCTCCTTGCTTCAGGTTGAAAATTGATAAAGATTGGCAAACAATCAAATAAACTTCTAAATAATTTATACAAGAACAAAAAAAGCTGAAAATTACAATAAAAATATTTCCGATGAGAAAAAGTGTATATAAAAATAAAAAAAGCTACATTTATACAAAAATAAAAAAAACCTGAAGATAAAAAAAATAAATAAAAATATTTCTGGCTAGAAAAAATAAATTGAATACAAACTGAGGGTAACTTATGTACAGCGTTCAGCTGAAAATGTCCAGATCACTTGGTTTTTCTATAATTACTACTGGATATCCATCTGATTGTCTGCAACGAATTTTACCCTCACTAAAACATACATATTTTATTTTTGCAGCCACCCTCTTCTCCTGGCTAACCAATAAATGTGTTTATTGGCGGACCTCATGACTTCACTCACGTAGACGCAGTGCGAGTCGTTCTCTCCCCAGACTTGATGGCGTGTAGAGAAATCTCTCTTTGCTGTTCTCTGAGTGTTCTCGATTATTAGATTTCATTATTGCTACCTCAGCTATTAAATCAGACACCAACCTATTGTCAGCAAATTTTTTTCTAAGCGCACCTGTTAATTCTTTGACTGTATTAAAATTATTATTATAAACTTCGGCTTCTACTGGTAAATCTAAGTGATTCATTGCAGCTCGAAAAATGAGACAATGATTATAACCTCTTTCAATTACGTTTTATGCACAATAAGTTCTGGTTAAATCTTCACAAGTAGTAATAAATTGTGGCAACTAATAAGTATTACCATCGTATCTAGAGATATATTTCAATATTTCATGAAGAACCACTTTTGAAACTGACATTTTTGTAATTAATTGAGCGAGTTTTAAACAAAAATTGGTATTAGAAGTACAGAGATTACTCACAGGAAATTTA